CTTTGTGAAAGAGACGAAAACATTTTTGCTCTTAATCATTTATATAAGATTTTTTTGTATTTGTGAGAGATAATCAGAAGAATGGGTAAAGGTTATAATAAGAAGTCAAATTTACAAAATAAAACACAAACGTGTCCAATCGAAGATCAAAAGAATCGACTAAAATGAACTGTATTTATTTTTTCTTCTTTTTCTTTCTCATACTGTCGTTACTATAAGTGACTTTACCACGCGGTAATAAACTGGAACAGAAAAGTTATCACTTGTATCGATAGTCATCATAGAAGTTAAATTTATCGTTTCGTCTTTTATTTACATGCAACGACAAATTGATTCTGAGAAAGACATGAAAGGTGTTACACCTCCATCTCCATCACCACGTTTTTCACGTACATTTGATATGCTTCTAAGTCGTGTAAGATAAATAAATATTACTTAGAAAAGTTTTTATTTCTCTCTTGTATTAATTTTAGTTTCCAAATTCAACACCATCATCATCGGTAACTTTTGTTTTTTTTGTCTTTTTTGATTTGTTGTGATTCAACAGTCGTAAAATAGTTGATAACTTCTAAGCATTTTTCTTTTTTTCTAGTACCGGTCTGCGTTCATTTTCTCTAGTTTTTCTTTCCTTTTCTAAATTCATTCAACAACGATAAAGAAAAAAATCCGTTCTATCTCAGTAGAATAGATGAAGAAGAAAAAAAAAGAAAGCTCTACATCATGATAATTCATTCATATTTTTTATTCTTTTTCACTTAAATAACCTTTACGGTTGACATTACCCTTCATGACACATATTTTGTTATTTTTTTCTTGAGATAAAAAAAACACTACTCAATTTATAATTGTATTATTTTTTTAATAAATATTATTTATTTGATATTGTAGAATATGACAACAAATAAAGGTGGTTATCAATCTTCAACATGGGATGAACATAGTCCTTATAGACCAGCACAATGGCGATCAACAATTACAGCACCATTATGTGCACTTTGTAATAAAGCTGTTTTTCCAGCTGAAGAAGTTATTGGAGCTGGACAAAAATATCATAAACTTTGTCTTAAATGCAGTAAGTCTTCATCTGATATCTTAATTTCATCATTTTTATTGTTGATTTTTCTAGTTTCATGTAATACATTACTCAATTCAGGTAATGTAAATGAACATGATAAAAAAATTTATTGTGTCGGTTGTTATCGTCGTCAATTTGGTCCACACGGAAGTTAGTATTTTGTTTTTATTGACTTAAATAATCAATATATATATTTTAGTTGGACGTGGTCTTGGAACAACATCATCAATCATTTTAGAAACACCACCAAGTAGTCCAAGTATAAATCGACTAGAAACAAAATCTAATGATGAATTAATAAATACGAATAATAATGATGATTCTCAACGAGAAACATCACAATATCAAGTATCATCTAATGATCATTCACATCAAAGTAATTCACTTATGAACAGTGTTACATATATTGGTGGTGTTACAACAAGACAAACACTATCGACTATTCCTCGTCAATCAACAGCAAATTTAATAAATGGAACAACTTTCAAGACGATGTCAATATCAGGAAATATTTGTCCACGTTGTTCAAAATGTGTTTATTCAGCTGAAGAAGTTAAAGCTGCTGGAAAAGTAAAAGAAAATTTAATGTACTTTAATTTATCAATGTTTTATTTTTTTTATAGTCATTTCATAAACAATGTTATACATGTGCACATTGTAAAAAAAGTATCAATGCTGGTCGATATTCAGAACATGAAGGAGAACTTTATGATAACAGTAAGATTTATTTTTTTTTTGTATTTGAGTTATTTCA